CCCCCCCCCCCAGCATCCTGAGAGGGCAGTTGAGACTGGGTGTGGCGGTGTTCGCCTGTAATCCCAGCTCCTGGGAGGCTGTGAACAGGCAGATCACTATGAGTAGGATCTAGTAGTGAGACTTTGAACACCCTGTAGACCCTTCCCTAAAATACAAAAAGAAAAGAAAAGAAAACCAAAGTAATTGGCTGGGCATGGTGGCACACTACATACCTGTAATCCAGCACTCTGTAAAGCTCAGTTAAGGCTGTGGGTTCAAGGTGACCCTAAGCTACCTAGTAAGCTGAAAGTTGACAAGATCTACATAGACCCTATTTCAAAAAAATAGGGAAAGGGGGAGAAAAAGAGGGGGAGAGGGAGGGGGTGAGAAAGAAATTGCTTGAAGTTTGCATTGTAGATGAGACTAGGTAGGTTCTGGTATCTTGTCAGCTCTCAGCTTCCATAAAGAATTCATTCAGTTTCTAACATCAGTTCACACTTTTGTCACAAAAGCACTGAAGCTCTGAGCACTCTCTGATTAACCTCTGACCACCTAGTCTCCCCCAGCTGAGTGTGAATTTGAATTAGTGGTTGGAGGTGTTTCAAGGCCTAACAGCTGCTTTTGCAGATTGGCTGTAAATTGTAGTTTCCTGCCCTTGTATTGCTGTGCCATCCAGCAACATGTTACTACAAATAGGAAGTTGGTTGTGTGATAAATCTCAGAGCTGGAGTTTGAAAAATTCTTAATATATCTCAAAATACTGTTCTCACCAAAGAGGTCACCTGGAGAGGCCATGCCATGATTCCAGGGAAGGGTGGTTTTTACTCCGATGCTTACCTGAAGCAGTGACCTTACCTGATTCCTCATCCCCCAATCAGAGTAAATTTCAACTCTATTCTCAAAAATTTTTAAAGTTTTGTTTTAAAATGAAAAGATATGAAGGTAAAGACAAGTTATAGCACTAAATAACACAAGTATTGAAAAAAATATATTCCTAGCCAAGGTGACATAGTTCACAAATAATAATGTTCAGTTAAAGGGTGTTATCCTGATGTGTTAGTGGTTGCTTAAGGAAATGGTTTTCCTGGAGTCATGCACCATAGACAAAAGTTGGCGAAACTTCCCCAAAATGTACATTTAGTAATGAAGCTGAAGGAAGAAAACTCTAAAACTGCTCTTGTTTACTTGTAGTAGTTCCCAGTCTTTGACTCCATATGTCTCTTTTTCCCATCTACACTTCTTGTAGAGTATGACTTTAGGAGTTGGAAAGCTCCCCAGGACCAACTGACAGACCGATTTCCTTCCTTCCTTCCTTCCTTCCTTCCTTCCTTCCTTCCTTCCTTCGTTCCTTCCATATGCACTATTTCCTTCCTTCCTCCCTCCCTTCCTTCCTTCCTTCCTCCTTCCCTCCCTCCCTCCCTTCCTTCCTCCCTCCCTCCCTTCTTCCTTTTCCCCTCCTTCTCCCTCTCCCCTCCTCCCTCTCCCCTACCTTTCTTTTTCTGAGACAGGAAGGTAGCCTAGGCTGGCCTCAAACCCACAGTGATTCTCCCCTTCTGCTTTATCGTCCCACATGCTGTGATTAGTGGTGTGTCCCATCACACTGGGCACTCCAAGACGGTTCTAACATTTTGCTTTTGTTTCTTTAGGTATTTCTGGGAAAAGCCAGCTTCTTTTTGCACTGGTCTTCACAACTCGTTACCTGGATCTTTTTACTTCATTTATTTCATTATATAATACATCTATGAAGGTATGGTATGGCTTCCAGTAGAATATAATTTACCTATGGTGCACAGACCTGTGGAAACTTAGGTCAGCTGTGTGTTTTTTTATTGAAAATTTCTAAGAATTACATCTAACTATGCTGCCTTAAAACTTTTAGATCTCTTTGTATGTATAATTGTATAATAGGTATCATAGGCCACTTTTTCTGTTTCAAACAGTATTTAAAGTACTCTAAACTTAAGAGATTTTAAATTTAAATCTATTAAAGCTTTTGATAGCCCTATAAGGAAAGAAAAATGGCTACTAGATTTCAAAGAAGTGGAAAATTACACATTTCCCGGAGAATCCAACAAGTCAGTACATAATGAGGAATTAGAGCCAGGACCCCTGGCTCATTTGTCATTTTGTTGCTGTGTGAGCCACTATTATGTGGGCTTCTTTTTTCTTTTTTTCACTTCGTTTTTCTTCAACTTCTGTCATGTATGCCATTATTACTGTTTTTGCTGTGCTTAAATAATCTCTCTCTGTCCCCCCTCCTCTCTCCTCTCCTCTCTGTCTTCTCTCTGTCTCTCTCTCTCTCTCCTCTCTCCTCTCTCCATCTCTCTATCTCTCTGTCTCTCTCTGTCTCTCTCTCTGATACCAGAAATCAAACTTAGGGCCCTGCACTTGCCAAGCAGGTGCTGTGCTGTTGAGCTCCATTCCCAGCTCTTAAATAACATCTGTGTGATAATTTACTTGATAATATATTTTAACTTGTCCTAAGCATTGACATCCATGACACCTTTGCTGTCTTTCTCCTTACATTAAAGCAAATGCCTAATTATTAGAGTACAAAAATTTTTATGTAGTAGCTACCTTTTATACACCACCAGGGGTGCATGCTTCACATGTGGGGACCCGTTGGGCTAGGTGAGCTTCTGTTCTTTCCTGTAGCTGTTGAACTCCTGCTGTGAGCATCTCCAGAGCTGGGAACTGAACATGTGGCAGAAAATGAGCAAAGTCTCACAGTCTGATTGTGGGGAGGAAGCAGATCATCACAGCCCTACATAAAGGACTGCAAGTTGTGATGGATGCTGTGGGGAGAAAGTAGAGTCTTGAGGTATACAGTAGGAGTCTGATTTCTTCACTGTATAAATTCTGAGAACCTGGTGCCAGGCCTACATACTTAGTTATGGAAAGTAATTTGGTTTTGCTACCAAGAATCAAATTCAGGACCTTGTGCTTGCTAGGCAGGCACTGTGCCTCTGAACTACAGCCTTGGCCCAGGAAGTAACATTTAATAAATTAGTATTTATTTATTTGGTACCAGAATAACAAAGTAATATTTAAACTAAAGCCTATTGGTGTAGCATTTAAATAGCTATCACCTCCACACATACCCACATATATTGAAAAACATCATAAGCACAGATTAAAATAGACAAAGCAATATTTCAGTCTGTGATCTTTACTCAAAAACAAACTTGAGTTACCTGTAATCATTCTATTCTTCAATACTTAGCGATGGGACCTAGTAATCAGGAAATAATTAGCTGTGTTAAAATGGCTAGGTGCAATGCCTGCTGTCTGGGCAAGTTAAACTCTAGGCATTCATGATGTGTGAGCCAGAATTCCCCTGCTCCTGTCCTGTGAGGAATGCCAGATCTTGGAGGACTCTTTGCTTGCTTGTTTGGATAGTTTTTAAGCATTATGTCATGAAGGTTAGCAGAGTTAACAGCCAAGTTGTATCTGGTCACATCTTTTTTGCTTTAACTGCCAAGCACTCTGGGGAGACAAACAGCTGTCTTAATCCAGCTGGTGCTAAGGCCTTGGACTGAATCTCGCTAGCTGTAGGCTGGGCCTAAGAAGCCCGTCCAGATGATGTGAGCCTCATTTGGTTCCAGAGGTACATATATGCTGAGGTACATATATGTGTACTTCAGTATTATTCATGTGTGTAATTATAGCCAACAATTTTAGTACCATTTTGACTTTATTTGCAAATGTAACTGCACAATGACATACCAAGTACTGGTTAGTGTCTTGGAGGGTTTTTTTTTAAAGCATATAAGGGTTTGATGATTGCTCTCACTTTCCATTTAAGTTGTTTGCCCAAGTGTTTTTCCTAATTACATCTGTTAGGTTGTATTTCCTAAGGTGAAGTAGTACCAGGCTGTGTGGTCCCTATCCCAGTTGTCTCTTCATAATTAAAACCTGCTATGTGATTCTTGGGAATAAATTTTTTTTTTTTTTTTTTTTTTTTTTCGGTACTGGCGATTAAACTCAGGACCCTGTGCTTGCCACTCAAGCACTTACTCTACTGAGCCATCTCCCCAGGCCCTGGGACTAAATTTCTGTAATATGACAATTGATGTAATTTCAGAATCTTAGACTTTTCTGAGGTCAGGTAATAAAATCATGTTCACTTTTGTTTTCTTTGGCTTTTTATTTTGCTTTTTTGTTCATTTGGTACAGGGTCTTACTACACAGCTCAGACTTGTAGTGATCCTCTTATCTTAGCCTCTCTAACACTGGGATTACAGGTGTGCCCCACCATTCCCAGTTTCAGTGGCTGGCACAGTACAATCAGGGCCGGCTCAGTATGGAGTACCAGGGACCAAACCTGGGTCCTTGCGCTTATCAGGCAGGCACTTAGACCACCAAGCTATCTCCCCAGCCCTACTTTGATTTTTTTGAGACAAAGTCATATCATGTAGTTCAGGCTGGCCTTGAACTTTCTATGTAGCCCATACTCTGTTTGAATTCCCAGTGATTCTCCTGCCTTAGTCTCTCAAGTGTTGGGTTTACAGGGCTGTGCTACCAAGCCCAGGCCGACCTATTGAAAATGAAAGAATACATACCTTAATTATAAACCCTTGAGCAGCTGTACTGCTGTGTACACGAAAGTTGCTTGCTAACTGTAGGTTTTACTTTGGTTATGAGATAAAATTTTGTAATAGTTTGAATATTCATTGTCAAAATAACACAATTTAAGTAAAAACATTCATGACAAAGTTTAACATGAATTACATTGTTGATCTTATCTTTACAAAAATGCTACCTAAGAAATAACATCATGCTAGAAGGGGTCTGTTGGGTTTGAACTACATTAAACTTTGCATTTTTTCTTAAGCTGGCATATAATAGTTTAAGATGAGATTAAAAATACATTTTTGTGGGTTTTTTTGGCAGTTCCCTACAAAGTTAAACTTAACATCTGACTGTGTAAACTCATTCCTAGGTGTAGATTCAAGAGAAATGACAACTTAAATTCATTCAAAAGGGTGTAGAGGGGGCTGGTGAGATGGCTCAGTGGTCTAAAGCACCTACTTAGAATGAGCTTAGCAAATCACAGGGACCATGGTTCAATCCCCCAGCACCACATGCCAGCCAGCCCTGCCCCCTGGTGGGCTGAGCTGGCCACACACACTCACATAAAAAAACAAAAAAAACAAAAGGGTGTAGAAATATTTATGAACAGCTTTATCTACCATTCCCCCAAACTGGAAACAATTCTCCAGTCTCTTAACTGGTGTATGAGTAAACAAACTAGTGTACTGCAATAAAAATGAACAACTGTTAATACATATGTAATTTCTTGTCCCTGACTAAAAGGGGCAAAGGTAACATACTTCATTTATGTGATATTGTAGAAGGAGCACACCTGGGTGCAGAGTATACCAGTGATGACCAGAGGTGAAGGCTGAGGGAGGCTTGACTATATAGAGGTAGTATGGTGAATTTTGGGTGTAATGGAACTATTCTGTGTCCTCATTATGGTGGTTACATGACATAGAACCATATACCCACCAAAAGTGACTTTTGCTTAAATTTAAAAAAAAGGGGGGGGCCTGGCCCTAGCTCAGGCCTTTAAGTGGCTGCTTCCACAAAGCTGTCAGCCTCAGGTTGCTGGAGTTCGAACCTCACACCTCTCCCCCTGGCCAAAAGTGCCCTGAAGGCATTCGAGGAGCAAAAAAAAAAAAAAAAGAAAAAAAAAAGAGAAAAGTGTATACATAGGTGATAGAAAGCAGAGTTGGAACAATCGCAACATATTGACAACCTGGTACTTTTATTTTCAGCTTATCTACATTGCCTGCTCCTATGCCACAGTGTATCTGATCTACATGAAGTTTAAGGCAACCTATGATGGAAATCATGATACCTTCAGAGTGGAGTTTCTGGTGGTTCCTGTGGGAGGCCTCTCATTTCTAGTCAATCACGATTTCTCTCCTCTTGAGGTTAGTAAAGAGGCTATTTAGTGGTTATGTCTGCTTCCCTAGAAGAGACCTGTTTGCAGATAATGCAGATTTTTGTGGGATTTGTTTGTTTGTTTGTTTCTGTTTCCCAGTTTGGCAAACTTCTGGTGGAATATGCACTATTTGATGTAAATAAATCACAGAAAGCACCCAAGTATTTGGGTGTCTGCTGACAAGATTATTCCTGATGTTCCTTGAGAATACAGCATTAAAATAGTATTTCATTATCTGAACATCTTTGATACCAAACCCAGAGTCCTGCCTGTTGTCTCCTTCCCTACACTGGTCAGCTTTTGCTTCCTTTCAGCATACTGGTGTCGCACTTGAATACTGTCCACGTCTTCTAAGCAGCACCTCTATATTTCTCATCCTTTGGAACAGTGCTTTATATATAGTCTCTCTGGCACTGTACCATGACCTGTTCCTAAGCAGCCTTTTATCCCTGGTGAAGAGGTGGTGCTTTGCATGGGGGGTTGTTAAGTTACTGCACTATTGTTTCTTGTCTTCGAGGAGTGTCTGGGCTATTTACAAGTCAATCTGCAGCTTGAATAAAGTGCTAAGCTGGGTAGCGTTTGCATGATTACAGCTCTGACTTCTGACCCCTTTGTTTTAACCACATCAAAAAGCCTAAAGAATAAGAAAAAAATGCAGATCCTTCTTGACTTATGTGATGGAGTTACATCCTGATAAACTCACTGTAAGTTGAAACTATAGTAAGTTAAAATAGTGTCTGATGCACTTCAGCTATAAAATACACCAGCTTTAGTATATTGTTTGTTTCCCTCAGCATGGCCTGGCCAACTGGGCTCTGAGAGCTTACTTCTGTACTCAGCATCACAGGGATATTGTGCATGTCACTAGCCTGGGAAAAAATCAAAATTCCAAGTGTGGAGGTTAGTGATGTTAATTCTGGCAGAAAGAAGGGTTGAGGACTAGCAAGATAGCAGACTAAGCGCCTGCTTAGGCAAGCACAGGGATGGAGATTCGAGTCCCAGCACCACAGGCCACACCCAGGTCCTGGCGTAGTTGTGCATGCCTGTAATCCCAGTGCTGGGGAGGCTGAAAACAGGAAGATCACTGTGAGTCTGAGGTGTGTAGTGAGGCCTATACGAAATACATTTAAAAAACAAAAACAGGGTTGGTTCAGGACTATAGTGGGATAAGCTTATCCTGAAGGAACATCACATTAGGAAGTCACAGAAAATTTATAGTGGACAGGTTAAATGTATACCTATAATCCCAGCTACAAAGGAGGCTGAGGCAGAAAGATGACAAGTGTGTTTTTTAGTTATTTTGAGACAGGTCTTGCTATGTAGTTCAGGCTGACCTCAAACTTGCTATGATCCTCCTGCCTCAGGAGGTGTATACAACCATGTCCGGCTAGTTTGAACCCAGCCTGGCAATGTAGCAAGACATTGAGACAATGTCTCAAAATGAAGAATGACTGGGAATGTAGCTCAATGCAATCCCCAATACCTCAAAAAATAAATTGACTAAAAGGGCTGGAGATGTAGCTCATTACTCCTTCGGTTCAGTTGTCAATAATGGAAAGAGGGAAGGAAAGAAAGGAAAAAAATCATGCAGGAAAAAAAAAGATGAGGTAATGAAAATACTTCCATACCTGTAAGGTGTTCTGAGGGCAGTAAGTGTATTTCTGAAACTCCCTGTGGGCACTGGATCCTGATGGGAGCTTGCCATTTCTTTTCCAGATTTTATGGACCTTCTCCATCTACCTTGAGTCAGTAGCCATCCTTCCACAGCTCTTCATGATCAGCAAGACTGGCGAGGCTGAGACCATCACCACCCACTACCTATTCTTCCTGGGTCTCTACCGTGCTTTGTACCTTGTCAACTGGATCTGGCGCTTTTACTTCGAGGGCTTCTTCGACCTCATTGCTGTGGTGGCTGGTGTGGTCCAGACCATCCTATACTGTGACTTCTTCTACTTGTACATTACAAAAGGTACATCAGGGCCGGCCTGCCTGGTTCCTATAGTCGTGGGCTTTGTGAGGATCTTGCTCACTCAGCTCCTCCTGTGCCCAACACTCTGCTGATTTGACATGGTTCCACAGCAGAACTAGCTTCAGAAAAATAACTTTATGGTTATAAAATAAAATTCCATATTGGGGCTGGGGATCTAGCTCAGCAGTGCAGTACCTGCCTGGCAAGCACAAGATCCTGAGTTCAATTTCTGGTACAACCCACTCCCCAAATTCCATATCAGAACTTTCAGTCTTTTTTTTTTTTTTTTTCACATAAACACGTCTTTTCCTAAAATGACATAGTTCATTGTATAGGTTTCAGTTAGATTTAATTATTTTAGTTATCTGAGATCCACTGTTAATGTGTCAGTAAACATAATGCCAGATATCTCTGTATGAGTACAAGTCATGATTTAAACTACATTAATTTTCTATAATCTGTTTTGTTTCCCATATTGTTTTTCATATCAGTAAATAGAAATTAGCTGAACATTGTGGCACAGTCCTATAATCTCAGCACTATGGGGAGCTGAAGTAGAAGCATGCAAGTTTAATCCCAGCCTAGGCAATTTAGCAACACACGGTTCAAAATAAAAGATAAAAAAAGGGCTGGGTGGGCTGGAGAGATAGCTCGGCAGTCTAAGGGCCTACCTGGCAAAGGCAAGATCCCATAGTTCCATCCCTTGGTTGCACATACCTGTAATTTCAGTGCTGGGGAGGCTGAGACAGGAGAATCACTACGAGTCCAAGCTGTGTAGCAAGACCCTATTCCAAATGAACTACAGTACTGAGAAATAAAATTTTAAAAAGCCAGTAAGTCCTCCATTATGTATCATCCACACTACTGTTTCTCTGCCCAGCCCCAGTTTGTAGGTGTTACTAAATTTCTGCTGTTAAAATCTAATGCTGGGGCTGGGGATGCAGCTCACTGACACAGCATCTACCTGACAAGCATGAGGTCCTGGGTTTGATTCCCAGAACCAAAGGGAAAAAAAAAAAAAAAATCCATGTCTTACCAGCTGATCCTAGCACTCAGGAGGCTAAAGCAGATAATTTTTTTTTTTTAAATGTATTTATTTATTTGTGTGTGTGTGTGTGTGTGTCCAGCTCAGCCCACCAGGGGGCGGGGCTGGCTGGCATGTGGTGCTGGGAGATTGAACCGCGGTCCCTGTGCTTTGCTAAACTTGTTCTAAGTAGGTGCTTTAGACCACTGAGCCATCTCACCAGCCCCTAAAGCAGATAACTAGTTTAAGACCAGCCTGGATAAGGTAACAAGACCCTGTCTCAAAACCAAAGAAATTCAGTGCTGGGCCAGCCAGATAGCTCAGCGGATTGAAACACCTGCTTAGGTAGGCGTGGAGACCAGGGTTTGATGCACTGCATGCTGTTCTCGCCCCACCCCTAGGGTGCGCTGAGATGGTGATTGAGACTGGGCGTGTTGACGTGCACTTGTAATCCCAGTGCTTGGGAGGCTGAAAATAGGAAAATCACTGAGTCTGATCTGTGTAGTAAGACCCTGTACTAAATACAAAAAAAAAAAAAAAAAAAAAATTCAGTGAAATCAACAACCTGTGTGTGTGTGTGTGTGTGTGTGTGTGTGTATTTACATTTGTATAAATATATGACATGTGGGCTTTACAAATATCCCATGAGAAAACTAGTCCTTGCTAAGAAAAAAAAATCCAGATATATTCCATACAAATTCATGTGTTTAGGTAAAGAGAATTCAGAAGTATGAAGCCTAACTAGCGAGCCCAGAATAAGAATATGTGGTATGCAGTTATATTCCTAATGCTGGGCTTGCTTGGTAAAAGAACATATATATCTTAATATGTTTTTTAAATATCCAAGATGCTGCTCCATGAGTCATATTTAATATATAGGGAGAAATTATAACAGGGTTTTATGAATCTGATGATGTTTTCAATAATTTTTTTTTTTTTTTAGTGGTGACACTGGGGATTGAACCATATCAACACTGAGCTATATTGTCAGCACTCTCCCCCCCCTTTCTTCTTTGAGTCAGGGTCTCACTAAGTTGTCCAGACTAGACTGAAAACTGTGATCTACCTGCCTCACCTGCTTAGCCAGTGCTGGGATCACAGGAGTGCATCACCACATCTAGTATCAGGGTTGCATTTTTAAATGCAACAATTTATTCATACTTTACTAGGTATGAATATGTATATGCCAGAGTTCTGAGAATAGAAAAAAGCAGTAAGCTTGTCAACATTAGTAATTTTTTGTTTCTTTTCTTTTTCCAGTACTCAAGGGAAAGAAGCTCAGTTTGCCCGCGTAAGTGCCAAAGACCATCAGCAGCCTCTGTCCTTCAGGGTGCTTGGACAGAATTCTTACCACAGCAAAGGCATGAGATGCTTGATGGGAAAATCAGAAACTTAACTCTTTTGTTGCAGATCGTCAGCAGTGGCTCTGTAAGAACACAGAGGAAAAGAACCACAAGGTTTCTGTTTAATGCATCTTGCCTTATCTTTTTTTATTACTATGTACAAAGATTTTTTTACACAAAGAAACTTAATGCTGTATTAATAAATTCAGTAAGTAGCTTAATTGGGATAGTTCCAGAAGTGACAATTTTGTGAGGAGTAAGTGCAAACTTATTTTGAAATTTCTTTGAAATTGTTGATTCTTTGTGTCTGCAATGAAATTGTACTCCTTGACAGTTGGTAGATTATATATTCTGATATCTATCAAACTTGCATTCCATGATATTTATTTTTTGCCAAAATATGAGTTATATTTGTTTGATACCTGAGACACTATGTTCAATTTTTATGTCTGTCCAAATTCCCACCTGCCATGGAAATCCTGCCTTGGACATCACAACACTACAGTAAAGGTTAGTGAAGATGACTTGTAAATCATATGGTTTTTCAATACCAAAATTTTAAGGTTCTGAGTGTAGATGAGGTGTCAGCTAAGTCACTGAAGGTGCCTGTCCTCTTCCTCTGCTGAGAAGTATCAGTTTGAGCTTGTTCCAAGGATGCCGAAGGACTCCTGAGCAGGAGTTTCGGGCTGCTTGCCATGTTAGTGTTTAGTGGGAGGGACTGTAAAAATTATTTTGGATAGAAGACCACTCTTCTGAGGAATGGAGCACAAATAGTCATCTGTGACTTTCACTTGCAATTCCAAAAGATGAACTACAACTACGTTCATGCTTAGATTCACACGGTTTCTCCATCACTTTTGGGTGGTAAGGTGATTTACAGTTTTTTTAATTGGTAGCATCATTTATGATTTCTTACATTCTCTTTTTTTATTGACCTCTTGTATGACTTACCTTGTGTTACCATCCTAAATAAACATTTTATTAAATGGAATAAATTGGGGTTTTTTATGAATTAAGACTTTTAAACATTATGTTGGGATGATTTTTGTTTTTCATTTAGGAACAAAAGCTCTATAGGGCTACAGACATTTAAAGTCTATTTATCAGTAAAATTTTGTCTGTTTTATGGAAATACTAGAGCTTTTTGTCCTCATTTTGCCATTATATTGATTTGCTCCATTTTTTGATTTATGCAAAAGTATATGACTTTGTTTTTATGTGATTGACCACAACCATGAAAGTGTTTAAACTGTTTGTACGTATTACAAGGAGGATGTACTATTTCTGTTTCCTGCATTAAAATATTTTGTGGAACAGGGGAGCTGGATGAGCTACATTTCTGTTGAGTGTGGGTCTTAACTCTTAAAAGTGGCAGTACAACTACATAATTTAACCTCTCATTTCCCCCATTTTGTTTTTCTCCTCGTGCGTGCTTCATGTTTTTGCTTTGTGTATCCCAGTACTTTTCATTCCAGCATAGTAGGCATGGTTGAGTTTCTTTGACTTGTTTTCATCTTCCTTGGACAGGTGAGGGAGTTTGAAGGAAGGGTGGGGAAATCAGTCCCAGGAAGGCAAGCTGAAAAGTCAAGCAGGCTGCTTGCTGCCTGGCCTGGGGGTGGGGTGGGAGCCAGACTCAACCTGTCTTTCCTCATGTAAATCAGGTAGTCCCTCACTGCAGAGCACAATGCACAGAATAAGGATCTAGAACCTTAGCATGTCAGAGCCTTCTGTAGTCATTCTAGTCAAGAAAGAATAAAATTGGCTAAGAGGTTAATCAATTTTTTTGTGGTCAGCCAGGATGGCTTTTTGCTAAGGAGGATGCCTGACTTGGAGTTGGGACAGGGCAGTGTCCTCACACATAGGAAACAAAGGCCTTGCCTTTTGTGACACACCTTATGAAGCACTGTTTCATGGTTACTTTCACTTAATAAAGGTTATCAGGTAATTAATATTTTCATTAAGGTGTTTTTATGTTTGTGTGTGTGTGTCTGTGTTTCTGGGTGTTGAACATAGGGTCCTTAGCATGTTAGGCAAGTGCTATTCTAGTATATATCCCCAATCTGTATGTGAATTTCTACAATTACTAATGGTTAAAGCTGGGTGTGATGGTACATGCCTGTAATCTCAGCACTCTGGGAGGCTGATACAGGAGATCATTAAATTTAAGCACAGCCTAGGTCTCTTATCAATTTAGTGATATCCTGTCTCAAGATACAAATAAAGGACTGGAGGGCCAGGGAGATGGACCAGTAGAATAAGTGCTTGGCCTGACAAGCGCAAGGGCCTGAGTTCAATCCCCAGTTCCGCAAAAAAAAAAAAAAAGTATAATTCCTACAGATAACCCACTACTATTATGGACTACTGAACTATATTGGATTATTTTGCTGAATTCACACACCTACAATATTTAAAAGGCAATGGAATACCCATCTTACAAAACTAAACAAAAAAAGGGTATACAAATGAAGGACCATTTTGTATGTGTATATACAAAATAAGATATATATACAGCTACTTTTCTTAATTCAGTGAGAAAAAAGATTTGTACTAATAGTATTTGGACAGGATATTATGTCTGCATCTTGTACTATGAATAACCACTATGAAGACAACAATATGCAATGTATTATTGAAAGTGTTCTATTAATCAGGTTTTTTAAAAATTTTTATTTATTTGTGTGTGTGTGTGTGTGTG